TGTTTATGTCATGGTCATGTTGCCGATGACGTTGCGGACGAAAGCAGGCTGTAATGGCTGCTGCTGGTGATGCTGAACCACTGGGTTCAGGTTGCGCGATTGGGGTTGATTCCACTGGGCTTGACGCATGCCTTTCCGAGCGTCTTGTCGGCCGGACCAGGGGCTTGGACTGGTCTGGCAAGGGCGAGAGCGGGATTTGCATCGCTCTGCCAGGTGTTTAAAGTTTCTGCAGATTTTGCAATAAAGGCGTCGCGACCGTCGCTCTTCCGTGTTGTCGGCGTAGAAGGCGAGGTGTTCCCGGTCTTGTCGCTGGTCGCTGCTGATCCATATATTTCTTTTCAAGAAGGGCGGCGCATAGGGCGGCTTCCGAGATAACCCCCTGCTGTCGGAGTAGCGCCTTACAGGGCCGCCATTCTGGGCCGAGCCCTTGGAGCACGATATTCATGAAGATTTCTTCGGAGATGGTTCTTCCCAATTTCGCAATTTGATCGCGTAAGCTCCGACAGCGATTGTTGTAGCTGTTGGCCTTCTCCCCTAGGGCCATTTTTTTCTCCAGTAGCCGCTGGATCAGGCGGCTCGATGAAACTGAATCCTTTGGTTGGTAAACACCGTTCAGATGTCGCCAGGCGTCGAGGGCTGGAGCAGGTGTTGTCTTGTACGATCGAATGCTCAGCTGTTCCGCCGTCGACATGTTTCGCAGTAAGACGCCGTACGCAATCAGCGACTCGTTGTAATATTGAGCCATGCGTCAGCGGTGTCTTCAGCAGGTCCCCAATAGCTCCCGTCGAAGTAATGAAATATCCGCGCATTTTGCAGCAACAGCTCCAGCTTGAAGCTCCACGTATAGAAGTCTCTGCCGTCGAAACACACACTTGTTGTTATTTTTGAAATGCTCAGGAACCTTGATTGAGCAGAGAGATTTGCTACTTCGCTGGGATGGGGAGTATTTGGAGTTGAGCCATTTGTGTCGAGGGAGAAGGTGTGCGGGGCGGTATTGTGGCCACCTGAGGGCGGTTGAGAGAGTTGGGAAGATGTTCCTGCGTCGCCATTCCGCAATGTTTGGAGTCCTTGCTCCAAGCTGGTGAGTCGCCGAAGTAGTTGTGCGAGGACGGCGGCTCCAATCGTCGTCGTCTCCTCGTTCGTCGCAGCCGGGTTGGGCTGCGCTTCAGCGGTCAGATTCGTCTGACCTCCAAATCCTCCTGCCATCCTTACACGCGAGCGTGTGCCGGACGCCACCTTTCGATCGCCGAAGATTTTGGAGGTGGCAGTGCGAAGGATTCCCGAGTCGCTCTCATACTATGCTGCGATCAGAAGTTGATCGTAACGAGGATCACCTCGGGAAGGGTCGCACAGAATTTAGCGGTAGTGGTGGGCCCTTGACCTCAAATCAGAGTGAATGTAAAATGATTGAGATGATAAAAAAATGCAGATACTAGCATATAAATAAGAGTACAGGTGGAATATGAGACGACCTAACTAGCCATGTACTCTAAGGAATACATTCCCTTATTACAGCAAAATCCAACCGTGCGACTCCAGACGGTTACGAAACTGTTCAGGCAGAATCCTTGCAACTGCTGCTGCTTGATGCTGTCTGCGAGGGCCTCGGATTCGTTTTGGCCTAGGCCAGGCCCTCAGACTCGTTTGGGGGTACACTGAGGCCTCAGGGCAATTTCTAGGAAATCAGATTTTGCCCTGAATTGTCAGGGCTGCACAGGGTGAGGTATCCTGAAATGTCAGTGCTACATTTGACAGTATCCTGGCAGCTCAGTGCTACATTCCGTACAATCCTGTATATGTCGCGCGTGTTTTATTAGCAGGGATCGAAATAATCTCCACATTCGGTGTAATGCTGTGGTGCAGCTGCAAGTGGCTGGAAGTGAAAGTCGTTGGCAGCTGCATGGTGCGAAACTGTTACAGCACAGTACAAGCAGATGGCGAAGGTGGCGATGGACATCGTGGGCCAAATTGGCTGGCAAAAGCGAAGTGGCGGGAGAGGACTTGTATGTCTCATATCCGATTTATCTTACATGAAGTGTGGTAGCGGGAAAAGCGTCAGTCTGTTACACAATGGGTCGCTTGCTCGATACTTGTGGCTCGTATTTTAGGCCCCGAAACTCAGAAGATTTTTCGTACAGTACATCTCGCTTCAGGGCGAGATTCGACACTATCCTGAGTCGTCAGGGCTGAACCTACAGCGTTATCCTAGGTTTTCAGTACGCAGAATAACCATTTTACTGATTTTACACGACAAGTTATTCCCTTATGCTGTTTTTTCAGGAAAAGCACACGACACCTATCCTGAATTCTAGAGAATCATGATAAATTATCCTGATAACATAGGCCCTGGCCTAGGTGTCAGTAGATCTGCACTGTGGATGCCCGATTGATCCTAGGGGGGTTACAGGCGCGTTTGCCTGGGGGGTTATGGGCGCACTCTGACCCGCTACTTAACAAGCCCTTTTATCCCAATGGTCTAGTGGTTGGGATTCTGACATGCTATCAGAGCGAAGGTCTCGGGTTCGAATCCCAGTGTGTGCACTTCGGGCATCCCAGTGCGGGGGGGTGTCAGAGGTCCACTGGTGATCCCCGATTGATCCCAGGGAAGGGTTACAGGCTCATTGTCCTGGGGGGTTATGGGCGCACTGACCCGCTACTTAACAAGCCCTTCTATCCCAATGGTCTAGTGACTGGGATTCTGACATGGTGTCAGAAAGGTCTCGGGTTCGAATCCCGGTGTATGCACATGTAGGCCGTCGCCGCTGTGCTCAGTCCTGGGCCTCCCAGTGTGGGGGGGTGTCAGTAGATCTGCACTGTGGATGCCCGATTGATCCTAGGGGGGTTACAGGTGCGTTTGCCTGGGGGGTTATGGGCGCACTCTGACCCGCTACTTAACAAGCCCTTTTATCCCAATGGTCTAGTGGTTGGGATTCTGACACTAGGTTGAAACTTCAGAGTTGGAACAAAATCAAACAAATCAGCCATTTTACACTACAAATTGAATAAAATTTCTTGTTTCTTTTCAACCAATTTGCTGAAATGTCAGCCTCAGCTCAAAAAAAGGTCTAAAATCTCAGCCTTTTTTAACCAAATCAGCCATTATTCCGACTTCTGAGGCACTGCTGTCTACCCTGACGGTCCAGATGCTTCGTAACCGTAAGCGACTCTTCGCGTCATTCTGCCTCTTCGCATTCAGCCTAGGCGTGCACAGTGCTTTTCTCATTCCACTATCCGTAACATTAGGCCCGATCAACTTCTGATCGCAGAAATATCGACCACCTTTTTTAAAGGAGGGGGGTGGGGGGGGGGGGGGGGGGGGGAGGGGGGGTGGTAGTGTAAGGAATTGTGCCTAATTCCCTACTCAGGCATCCCATACGCGTACAACCCAACTTTCAGAGTTCAGGCTCGGTCCGACGACCTCGCCTTGCGAACGTCCCTCGCGTCGCGGCGTCGGCCCGTCGCCTTCAGTTGTTGTAATCACTTCCACGATATTGCATTCTGCGAACTCTTCTTTTTTACAACTCATAACAATTTTGTTGTAAGGAATTGTAATTCCTCACTGTACTCGCACTTTCGGACATCCCGAGGGTCACGCGACAAACATGTTCGGCCTATTTCGTCGGCCGAACCACTCCCGAGTCGGCCTCCGCTCCAATCGCAACCATCACCGAGCCATCTTCGCCCTACCTCTTCGCCTAGCTAGGACTTCCCCTACTTAGGCCTCGTCACTTTGTGTATTCAGGCATTCAGTAATCAATCATTCTAGTTATTTGTTTTACTGCGCACTCCGCAAGTTCATTTATAACATTTGTACTATTAGTAACATTGGGCCCCATATTCGTTACCATTCCCATTATCCCTTGAACTATTGCCAAGTTCGCCTGTTTGGCGAAACGAGGCGATTACAAAAATCAAAGTCTGGCATGGTTACAAAGCTTTTTCGTGCAGCTTCTCCAGTCTTCGCACATGCGCGGGTGGGATGCAATAACCGTTTCCGCGAGCATCCACGGAACACCAAGGGACTTCCAACCCCAGCCACGATTATTAGGATTGAGAAGACACAGGCTTGCTGTTTCTCCCTCGTCAATCCTCTTGCGTTAGTGGTTAGGCGACAACTGCTAGGTAATACCGACAAGCTCTTGCCTGCTGCGATTCGCCGTACTGGCTTGTAGTTTGTGGGTAGACAGGTTCTCTGGTTCCAAGCGATGGTGTTGGGCGCGACGCGGCTGCTGCGTGTCGTTAGACACAAGGAATGTCTTTTAACCGTCTCTGCAGCTCTGTTTTCAAATACCTGGCGCGAATTTCTGGTACGGGGACGAGGAATCCTTACAGAGACATGAAGATTCAAGAACGGGGGGGTCGATGGAACGTTGATTTGTGAGGTAGTTAGCGCTGTCGTTATTTAACCACCAGCAAACGCGAATCTCGTTTCATGGATACATCCGGTCGAGCCGCTCGAGAGATATCCGTTGGTCTCGGTGTTACCCTCCGACTCAGTGCTTTTCTGCGACGCCTGGCTTGTCGCGCAAGTCGCATGAACCGCGCTGCACCGACTAGACATGCGGGCAATGGGAGTCGTCTCGTGATGGCGATGACTCGGCGTCAGTTTTATGGGCTCAGCGACGAAAGCGGCATTCGCAACGACGACGGTTACGATGCATCTTTCCATCGCCTGATTCGCCTCGCGTCCCGCTGACGCCTCGCCTCCTCCAACGGGTCGCTTCCAGCAGCCTTGCCTCCACTTCGCCCACTCAACGAGACGTTAATCCTTAACCACCTCGTCACCAAAGCGCCTCTCACCTCCGCCTATAAAGCCGGCGCCATGAGCAGCAATGGAATCATCAGCTCCAATCCGCTTCTCCCTTCAATCTCTTCCTCAAGCACCCGTTCGCAGCAGCCTGTGCAGCAGCCTTCCAGCTCTCTCCAGCTCCTGTGCAAGCCAGTCACCTCTTTCACCCGAATTCTGAGTCAACTCAGAAGCAACTACTGTGCGAGCCCTGATGGCGACGGCTGGCATGCGCGTGCTGGTGCTGGCAGCGCTGGCAGTGGGGCTGCTAGCGGCGGTGGTGAGTGGAGCGCGCGATGCCATGAAGGTAGCCAGGGGCCTGGTCCCCACGGACGGTGGGGGCGGTGGGGTGGCTGGCGGGGCGGCGGCGGGGCAGCAGAGGAAGGGCGCGCGCATTCTGGCGGCTGAGACCTTTGCTCACCACGCCCCTCTGCCCGACTACCTCGACCACATCCCCCGCCGCCAGGCCCTCGCCACCTGTACGTGCTGCTACCCCTCCTCTCCCTCTCTTCCCTGCCTTGGTTCCTTAGGGCTGGTGTTCCTTTCTTCTCACAGAGCGTTCCTGCTCCCCTTCCCTCTCATTTCTCTGCTCCCCTTCCCTCTCATTTCTCTTCTCCCCTTGGCTCTCATTTCTCTGCTCCCCTTTCGTCTCATCTGCTGCTCCCCTTGGCTCTCATTTCTCTGCTCCCCTTGGCTCTCATTTCTCTGCTCCCCTTTCGTCTCATCTGCTGCTCCCCTTGGCTCTCATTTCTCTGCTCCCCTTGGCTCTCATTTCTCTGCTCAATGTTGGTCCTTGCACGCCGTTCTTACTCAATGTTAGCTAGCTCTCGCCATTGCAACTGATAGAATTCTCTGTTTTGACGCAGAGGGGAGCGCGCTAAAATTTAGCACGTTGCCATTGCATGCCAAGATTTACCTCCAGAGCCAGCGCCAAGACAGTGACGCGCTCTTTGCTCACACGTAGGGTGATCTACCTGCCCCTCCGCGTCCCACACCGCTAACGGGAAGATGCTTGTCGTTAGACCAATGGATTATGCGACAAACAATCAAGATGTGCGGCTAGATGTTCTTATGGTACAGTCGGTTATACCTGCCAGCAGTAAAGGGGAATATCGTGATTACGGACAGGATGCACGAAGTACCACAGGGACAGGGAAGGGTGTCGATCGGTATGGAAAGGGGAGATAGCGAGGTGTACCGGGCGCCACCGAGAAGGCGCAGCCTGAGTGATCTGCTGGCGTCATCGGTGGAAGAAGCGAGATGTTATACGGAGGCAGCGGAAACCCGACGCCTGCAGAGGACGGGGTTGGCAGACCGGAGGCGATGGACAGAATTCAAAGGATTAGAAGATGCAGAGATGCGTTCGTGAGGAGGAGGACGGCCGGAGCAGGCCGAACGAGAAGTGGAGCTATACTAACGAGCCAGAGATTAAGGTCCCAACAAGATTCACCGGTCAGGCAGGGGAGGGTGCTGATCTCCGAAACTATCTCATGCAGATCGATAACATCCGGTACCATTCGGGCGAGATGGTCTGGAGTCGGATGGGTTCTTGAGATGACTCTCCAATACCTTGGCTGGGGAGGACAATACCAACTACCCGATGACAATGGTGGACTTGATGTGCAAATACCAGAACCAAGGAGAGAGTAGCTAGGGAATTGTGGATGAATTCTTGGAAAACCCGTGGCGGCAGTTCCCGGTGCACACGCCCGAGAAGATACGCGAATTCACCAATTTTGAGCGGAGAAAAGGGGAATCGCTACTGAGTTATTACGGGCGGTTGAAGGAGCTCGACATGGAGTGCTCGGATGAACGCCGACTCATCGGAAAATTCCTGACTGGACTGGATCCAGATATGGTGAAGGAGCTGAGAAGCAAGGTGTTCTAGATGGGGTGGGAGGCAACGCTGCAGCAAGTATATGAACTGGCGTGCCGCTACGAGACGGGTCTGAAACTATATGAGTTGGAGAAAGCAGAAGCAAGGGGCGCTTAACGTCGGCAAGGAGTATGGACGGCAAGCACACCGACGTACACCGGAAGACGGGAAGAGGCAATGGGCCCGGACCGCAGGAAGTGTCACCGATGCGGCTAGACGGGGCACATTCAGAGAGAGTGCACCCAAGCCCCACGATGCGACAGCTGCGGAGAGACAGGACACATGACGCGAGAGTGTCCGAAGATCCCCACGTGCAAGAATGACGGGAGGAAAGGACATAAGGAAGGAGACTGCTACGCGAAAAGGCCGCCAAGTGGAAGGGTCAACAAAACAGGGGGACTCAAAGAAGCGCGGAGGCTGCTGGAATAACTGGAGGAAATAGGCGGAGATGAAAGGCGGCGGAGACGCTATTCACTGGAGCAGAAGAAAAGGAGGACGCACGAATCCAAACGTTGTCCGCGCTAATGGCAAGACTGGAGGAAGCACATTGACAAGGCGAAGGGGTGTTGCGGGCCAGCATGCCAGACAACCCGTGGGTCTGAGAGCAGAGGTGCACCGAGGATCCCAAGGTTGAAGAGTCCAGCTATCGACACCTGAAGGAGAGAATGGTGTGCCAATCGATTGTGCTAGCAGCGGCTAAAGGCTCGATTGTCGCGGGAGGCATTTTCGTGGATTTGGCGATCATCGACAAAGGGCGCGCCGAACAGATACTGCACAAGGAAGAACGCCTGAGGAAAAGGGGATTCTTGCTGATGACGGCGGAAGGAGGAGAGCCGAAGTGGATCCCTTGCACCAAGCAGCCTGTGGAGATCGCGTTGACGCGGGGGAGAAGGACGAGTGCAAGATAAAGGTGCAGTGCGGAGTAACCGAGTCGGAGGACTATGACCTCCAGGTGGGCATGAAGCTGCTGTACGCGGTGGGTGCCACGATCTGCACGTGACAGGAGAGAGAAATATACCGTCAGCTCTTTTAGATACCAAGGGGACCAAGAGGGACTTCGCCAGTGCGCTTCGTTCACCAGGAGCCAAAAGGGGCCTATCATACGCGGATGATGGATCTAGAAGACCAGCCGGGAGAAGTAAGCTAGTATGAGGCGGAAGAGGAACTGAAGGAGCGCAACCAGCAAGAATTATGGGGGAAAGGCAAGGAAGTGATACCCGGAGAGGTCCTGAATAAACACATCCTTCATAAACCAAGCAGGATGGCGGATCTGTTCGGAGAACTCGGAACGGCGCTGGTAGCGGCGTTGAAAGTCGGATTGGTGATCAAGAAATGGACTTATGTGGAGGCAAACCCGGCTATACGGAAGATGTCCCAGCATTACATGGAAAGGAGCACTGAAGCATAGGGAGGCTGAGAAGCGGAAGCTGGAGGATCCGCTGGGGATGGAGGATGAGATCAGGAGGCGAGTTCTTATGGCCCCACGCAGTCCGCTACGCCGCGCACCAGCTGAACCCGTGGCCCAGTGACGCGCGACCACAGGTGACGCCGGTCTGCCTTTGGGCACGGTCCCAGGGTGTAGCAACTGACGACCGCGCCTGGGGTTCTCTCGCTCACATTCACGCCCCTGTCGCGAACAAGTTGCTTGCTCGCAGCCGTCCTTGCGTCTTTCTTGGTTTTCCCCTTGACGCCCCTGGGTGGACGTTCTACGACCAAGTCACCTGCCAGTTCTTCAATTCTTAGAACGTCACTTTTGAAAAATCGGTCTCGTACTACAGGAGTAGCCCCCACCGAGGTGCTGATGTCTTCTCCCCCCCGCTGTTCCTCAACCCTTTGCCCCCCCCAAGTCGCCCCGGTTGCCCCCCCTCTCCCCCCTTGACGCGTCGTGCCCCGTCATGTGTGTCGCACGTCACACCACAATCGTCTCCCCCGTCGCGTCCAGTCCCTATCGTGTCTGGAGGTGAAGGAGGTGCAACTGCGGAGGGTGCGGGTCCTGGGGCTGCTGGAGCTGGTGGCGCCGGCTCTGGGGGTGCACGAGGTGTGGGCGGTGGAGGCCACTCCTGTGGAGGATACGGCTGCCTCGAGTCGGCGGCCTCGCCCTGCCTCACCCCCTGGCTTCCCGTCAGTTCCGCGGTTCCCTCCTCATTCGTCTCTGCGGCCGGTCGCTGCTGAGTCTGAGTGTGTTCATGCTTGAGGTACTAGAGGCCGTGAGAGTGTTGTTGGTGGAGGTCTTGGTTATGGGGGTGGCATCGTTGGAGGTGACACTAGTGGAACTGGCTCTGCACAGCCTACACAGACTCGCGTCCGTTACTTCACACGTCTACATCGTGCTCTCCAGCTGGAGCACCTCAATCAGCAGCAGTAGGAGAGGGTAGAGGAGGAGGCACACCCACAGCAGCAGGTTTAGTTGCAGCCGTAGCAGGAGAGCGTAGAAGAGGAGCCACAGCCGGAGCACCAGCAGGGGAAGGGCCCGTGTTAAAAGGGAAATGCTGCCATCAGCACCAAAATGCCAGTGCTGGAATTCGAACCCGTGACCTTCAATCTGTCCTGAAAGTGTCCTAGGACAGATTTGGAATTGTTTATGCTAAGGTGTTGGTTATGGTGCACGCGAGTTTTGAACTGGAAACGTTTGGATTCAAGTGTCCCAAAAGAGTTCTTTCAGGACAGTTTGGCAGGACCAGTCTCTAGTCGCATTCGGTGTGAAACTCGGCAACGAAGCGTGGAAGTCAACAGAATTCGCACACGAGTTACAGGGGGGGTGAGTTACAGGGGGGGTCGACGGAAATTCGGTCGCGGAAATTCTCGTCAACAAAATTCAGCAACCTTTGGTGCGTTGGAATCGTGCCTCCGAGCTCTATCAAGCTGCTATAGTAGTGGAAATTTACACTCATGTTGCCAGAGGAGACTTTTCTCCATCTCTTCAGCTAGTGCGTACAGGTGAGCTGCTCGGAGCACCATCCAGAGCAGTCGCTCGCTCCAACCGCGCCATTCCGTTAGCGGGATGAGGTCAGCCGGCGTCGTGCTCAACAACTCTCCTCGAGATGCACTGGGAGGTTAAGAGCGTGGCGTGCTGGGGATGGATTCCGCTGATGAGGCCCAGAGGTGCGGCTATCTTCTCCAGGATAGTCCTTACGAAGTTCCTCCCGAAGGCCGTAGTACCGATAGGACTCCCAGCACCTTGATGCCATCAACAGCAGCAACCAGTCCTGCCGGCAAGTTATCTAGCACTCCTGCCGGGCTCCATGCCGAGGTCTTCGTCAAGTTGCATCTCAGCCCATAGGTGCGTAGTTTGTTTGTAATGAGCGCCAATCCCTGTCCCGCAGATTCCGGGTCTCCCACCCGAATAATGGCGTCTGCATACGCCATCACCACCACCGTTGGAATTCGCCAGTAGCTTTCAGTAACGCCGGTTGTATCACTACCGCGAAGAGTGTCAGACCTAGTGGGTCCCCTTGTCTCACTCCTCTTGCGCGAGGTGAGGCAAAACCCACATCCAAAAGCAGGCGTGGCAGGATTTCATACAGTGTGCGCACCAATGGGACGATGGGATGTAATCCTGACCACCTCAACGCCGTAAAGAACCTGCTTTGCTCCACCAAGTTAAAGGCATTCTCTAAGTGTAGTGCAACTCGCGTGGGGTCATCCTTGAGAAGTGCACGTGTCGAGTGGATGATACACTCTGCTCCCCCGAAGACCGCGACTCTGAAATGCACTTTACGGATCTGTGCCGTTAATTCCCTTAGCGTGATCTTGGCTGTTAGTCGTAGCTCGGCCTCTGCTATGGCTGTCGGTCGCACCCCTCCACCAGGCTTTTCTAAGGCAATCAGGCGAGAGGGCGGCAACAGCTCGCGTATATTCTTGCCGAAAAGTTTGTCGACCACCTCTAACAACAGCGTGAGCACTTCCCTGCTTGCTATAGCTGCCTCGCGAAGGTGCTCAAAACA